GATGACTAGCTGCCTTCCCTCTAGTCTTACACTGCTAAATTAGGGACGGCTAGCGCAGATAGCCCTCGTGTAGCTTTGCGCGAAATTCCAAAACAAACAAACAAATCTTATTGTCAAATCTACATGTCTAGCCAAGTACCCTCACTTTGCAACTCCTTCCTGCACCGCCCCCAAGTGGCGCAGAGGTTTGTCTGCGGACTTACAACGCTAGAATTCGAGTTTCGATACTCGTGGTGGGCAGAGCACAGATAGCCCATTTTGTAGCTTTGTGCTTAATTGCAAACAAACAAACCTTCCTGCACCACTGGAAGGCAAAAATTTTAAATTCATTTTATTACAAAAGCAGTAAGCTTGGAATTTAATCTTCGAAATATTATTTTGAAACTGTCAGGTAAATATTAATGTTTCTGGCAAAAAAAAGTGCGACCAAACTTGTTTTTGTGTTGGCGTGTTCTTTTAAATTATCTGATGAAAATATTTCAAAGTCCAGTAATTGTAACAATAATAAATTATTTTATTTCTTCCCTTAGTGTTTCTACAAGTTTAAACACTTGTACCCTGTCGTAAGTTTTTGTAGGCTGACGTTACAAATGACGTTCAAACCTCTCTAACAGTCTAGAATTAACGTAAAATCAAATAAACTTACTTGCACAAAGTATCAGCGACAGCTAACACACTGTTTGTTTGTAATTAAGCATAAAGCTACACAATGGGCTACCTGTGCTCTGCCCACCACGGGTATCGAAACCCGGATTCTAGCGTTGTAAGTCCGCAGACATACCGCTGTGCCACTGGGGGCGTTAACACACTGACTGATTCATTCTACTGTCTTCTTGAAAAAATCACTTTGCTCTTGAAACAACTATCCTGTATTGATAATCTAGCTTCAAATGTACCAGAACACCCATTACTAAAATATTTATAAGTTTGCAGCTCTATCTTATCATAATCTACGACCTGCAGCTCTCTCGAGCTAAGAAACAAATTACAACATTAAAAATATAGTCTAACTTTGCAACAAAACAAATACAAAAAAAACCCTCTCGCTCGTTTACGAATGTCGTATTTATATTCTACACTTGTTGCAGATATTTCTAGGATATCTAAAATAAACAAATTACAACATTAAAAAATATAGTCTAACTTTGCAACAAAACAAATACAAAAAAAACCCTCTCGCTCGTTTACGAATGTCGTATTTATATTCTACACTTGTTGCAGATATTTCTAGGATATCTAAAATAAACAAATTACAACATTAAAAAATATAGCTTACAAAAATATTTATATAACCTCGCTATTACAATCACAAATGTTATAGAGTGAACGTTTTATCTAAGCTGGTGAAGCATAATTATATATTGTTCAATGAACATCATAAACCACGATAGTGGTTCATAATAGGAATCGCGACAATTCTAATAGAACATACGGTAAAAAACATCTTACAAAGCAGACTTGTTTTTGAAACAACGCTCAAAACCTTCTATCACAATGGCTCAGGGTACTAAAATATTGATAATAGCAAGAAAAAAAGTTAGTTTTTCGATTATTACACAAAATTCATCTATTTGTTTTTCATATTATTCTTATTTCACAAGCTTACAGAAAAAACGGCTAGGAATATTTTAACCTGGGCAAACATACTAGAAATACTCCTGTGTAGGTCGTAGGACCATTTTTATGTTGATTTTCGAAAAAGAAGGAAAGTTTTAATTAATTTTTTCATCACCACTGGCCAAGTTTTTTTTGAAAGCCATTCAGGCACTGAATCTTACAGCAAAAATGGATAGGTATACTGTGCCAACATCTATACACAGCTATTAAACAAACTCCTGCGAAGGTTGTAGGGCCATTTCTAAGTTTATTGTTGAAAGTCGACGATTTCAACCCTCTAAGTTTTTCTCGTTACCAACATAAGCTCCGCAAAACCATTCAAGCATCGCAGAAATGTAGAAGCCATTTAAACACCGTTATACTAGTCGGAAATGCTCTGTTTTATACTATTAGAAAATTATTCGTTTTATTAGAGTAAACAATGCGTATACTTATCACAGTGTTTCCAACCTTATTATTATTGATTATAGTTTTAAAAGCCGCTACAGAAAAAAACGGCTACGAATATTTTACTGAAACCTGGATAATAGAAATGAATGCAGTATTGAATATGTCATAGGGTAGTTCTAAAATTAATTCAAACCATTATTTCGCCACGAAGAAAGTTTTTAAGTCCATCACTTTCTGCCATTGAAAAAATCTGGTGTTTTATTAATGCGCATTAATTGGAAACTGTCAAGTTGAGAATTCACCAGTTCTCGAGTTCGCCGTTGTAATTTGTCTCTACATTGTTTTCTGTGCCTATTTCAGTGAGTTTTCTAACAGCAGACGATTACCATGGCGATTTTCGTACTTTGCCGAAATTGTGAGTGCATATTTTAGTATTGTTTTATTATTATTATTCATATTTTTGTTTCACAAGCCTATAGCAAAATCGGCTTGGTATTTTGCACTAAAATCTAGATAGATACACTGTATGAAATGCTGCGAATGTCCGTGACTTATTTAAAAAGTTTATTATTTTTCATTGAAAGCTGATTTACGTGGCTATAAATATATAATATATGCTATGTTATTGTGAGCAGCTTCCTTTCTACTAGACGCTTGTTATACGCATGTTTACACGAAACCTCAGGCACATAACCACCTGGCTCAGTAAATAATGGTTGGGTGGATAAAAAACCAATGCAGCATTAAACTGTTGAAAACATGTAATATTCGATTGAATGCATATAAAAGTATGTAGCTTAAAATATATTTTCTATAAATTGACATAAAACTTTAGAAACAAGATTATCAAAATTTTTAATTTAAAAAGGGGAATAGGGATAGTCAAAAACGTACATAAACAAGGTGAACCAAACTGCAAAGATTATATTTTCAAACCTACAACTAGATCTCTAAAAACAGTAAACACACGAGGTTGGAAATAGTGTCTACATTATTTGTTTCAAGCTCCAAATCCCTGTTTTGACTCCACTAAAATTGATAAGTACTGTAAACATATAGAAGGTATATATAGAGGGTATGTTGATGATACGTTTTCACTCTTTCGAATCTCTAATAATATCAAACAATTCTTGGATTATTTAAATTTGAAACACACTAACATTAATTTTACTTGTGAAATTGAAAAAACGGTAAATTTTCTTTTCTTGATATCTAAATCAGCGGATTAGATAACCATTTCACAACATCTGTAAAAACACATACATGCTTACATACAACTCGATTTGACAATTTTATTCCGAATTCCTTTAAACGTAACCTAATACTCAATCTTCTCAACAGAGCATATAACACCTGTTTTAACTACTTCTCTCTTCATACTGAAATCACCACTTTACAGAACATTCTGATAAACAACGGCTATCTATTGAATCTTATTCAAGCCCTAAAACGCAAGTTTTTTTCGCACAAATTTGAACTCCAAAGAAACTGTTGAGAAATACCCATTATGACTGATCGTTCCTTTTTTAGCGAAGCAAAGTTTCATAGTGAAGTCACAAATTTTAAGAATAATTAAAACATTTTATCCCCAAGTTCAACTACAAATGATATTTAAATCACCTTTCTTTAAATACAAAACCTATTCAGATCTAAAGACACACTACCTACCCCTATGCGTTCCAGGAGCTATATAAATACACATGTGGTGGCTGTAATGCCACTTACATTGGCAAAACTATAAGCCAATTAGACCTTCGAGCCTGCGAACATATATAAGTATCAAGCAGAACTGGTAAAAACTATCAAATCCACCAGACTCCACAATTGGCACACATAGTGAAAATAACAACCGCCCCACCTTGATTATGAATTTCAAGGCCATCTCATCTGGATCATCCAATATTGAACTTTTAATTATAGAAAGATCTATTACAAATGAACTCCCAACTTTAAATAATAACATGGCTTTGCTATAATTAAGTCTGTTCTGAATACTTGTATAATTTTGTTACAATTATTGCATTATTCTATTCTTTCTAGCTTATTTGTCTGTCTTTTAATTTATTTCATATTTTCATTCTGTATTTTAATTACTCTTTATAAAATGTTTGAACGTTATAATTTTTTTACCTAATATTTTTACCCTGTTCAATAAAGCTTGCTGATGATGGAATATGTATATTCTGAAACGTTCAAGAACTTAATGTTTGTTACTGTACACAAACGTTCATTGTTTGTGCCATTGTTCTGCTGTTAATCATTAAACTTCGATCCCCGTCAAATGAATCTATTGCTAGGGTTATTAAAATTAATATTTGTAAAATCATTTAGTATTATCGTTTTTTCTAAACACATAGTTACTTACAAATTTTCTTTCATAGTAAAACAAATATAAATTTGCTAGATATGCTAAATATTCTACACCCATGGGAATATCAAAACTCGTTTAAAAAGCTTATTTTCGAAAGAGAGAAGATTATTGAAAACGTATTGTTACGTCTCTGGTCGTTAGTTAATTTCCCGTATAATTTCTTTCC